CAGAAACTGTCTTCAGTTTTAAGGTAATAGTGACCTTGACCTTGTGACCTCAAAATCAATAGGGGTCTTGTACCCAATATGGACAATCATCCTATGAAGTTTGAATATTGTGGGTCACATGGAACTTAAGTTATGCTCCGGAAACTGTTTTCAGTTTTAAAGAAATAATGACCTTGACCTTTGACCTTGTGACCCCAAAATCAATAGGGGTCTTCTTCCTAATATGGACAATCATACTATGAAGTTTGAACACTGTGGGCCAAACGGAACATAAGTTATGCTCCGGAAACTGTTTTCAGTTTTAAGGTGATAGTGACCTTGACCTTTGACCTTGTGACCCAAAAATCAAAAGGGGTCTTCTACCCAATATGGACAATCATCCTATGAAGTTTGAATATTGTGGGCCAAGTGGAACTTAAGTTATGCTCCAGAAACCAAATTGCTAACGGATGGACGGACGTTCCAACATTTTGGGTTTAGGGGCTATTTTCTTTGTTATTTTCTTAAGGGCTACTAGCCCATAAACCCTTTGATCACGGAATGAACCTATTGTTCTCTTTTGTTCTATTTACTGTTATATAGCCCCTAAACCCAAAATGTTTGCTCGGACGGACGGACGGATAGACGGACGGACGCCAGGGGGTATAACATAATATGCCCGAAATTCTTTCGGGCATATCAAAAGGGGGAAAACCTGAAATCAAATTCAAACAACTGAAAACACATTTTATGTAAAAAACTAGAGGATGCTTTTGTAAAAAAGCGCATGTCTCCCCCACTGCTGAGTATAACTGTGAATGGAAACAGGAATGGAAATGGAGATAAGATAATGTAAATACATGACCAATGGTCACTGTGACCTTAACCTTTGACCTACTGACCCCATAAACAAGAGGGATCATCTGCTCAATAAGACCAATCATCCTATGAAGTTTGAGGGTTGTAGGTCTAAAGGAACTCTAGTTATCATCCGGAAAGGAGAAATTAACCAACGGTCGCTGTGACCTTTGACCTTTGACTACTGACCATTAAAACAATAGGGATCATTTGATTAATAAGACCAATCATCCTATGAAGTTTGAGGGTTGTAGGTCAAAAGGAACTCTAGTTATCATCCGGAAATGAGAAATTGACCAACAGGTCACTGTGACCTTGACCTTTGACCTACTGACCCCAAAAAACAATAGGGATCATCAGCTCTATAAGACCAATCATCCTATGAAGTTTGAGGGCTGTAGGTCAAAAGAACTCTAGTTATCATTCGGAAACGAGAAATTGACCAACGTCACTGTGACCTTGACCTTTGAACTACTGACCCCCAAAAACAATAGGGATCATCTGCTCAAATAAGACCAATCATCCTATGAAGTTTGAGGTCTGTAGGTCTAAAGGAACTCTAGTTATCATCCGGAAACGAGAAATTGACCAACGGTCAGTGTGAACCTTGACCTTTGACCTACTGACCCCAAAAACAATAGGGATCATCAGCTCTATAAGACCAATCATCCTATGAAGTTTGAGGGCTGTAGGTCAAAAGGAACTCTAGTTATCATTCGGAAACGAGAAATTGACCAACGGTCACTGTGACCTTGACCTTTGAACTACTGACCCAAAAAACAATAGGGTCATCTGCTCAATAAGACCATTCATTCTATGAAGTTTGAGAGCTGTAGGTCAAAAGGGAACTCTAGTTATCGTCCGGAAACGAAGAATGGACGGACGGACTGACGGACGGACGGACTGACGGACGGACAGGGCAAAAACAATATGTCTCCCCCCGAGGTGGGGGAGACATAATTAATTCAATTTAACATGCAGAGGCTATATCACTGTTGTACAGCGTTCCCCGGATATAGCCCCTAAAAACACCGAAAACGAAAGTAGAAAGCTGCACACCGAGTACACACAGATAATGTTTTAACCTATTTCTTCATCATAACTTCATCGATTTTTCAAAACTTAACAATATTGGTGAAGCTTAATATGTCTAGTTTTAGAGCAGTATTTGCTTTTGTCTGCAAATTGAATACTTTTTGTTAAATTGGTGATAAATTGTAGCGTATTTGTTGATATTTGCGAACGATGTTGATATTTACCACTAAATCATGCCCAAAACGCATTTTCTGTACAGAATTCCGCCGTTAATACAAACAATAGCCATCCCTCTTCTTATATTTGAGTTTTCACCATTCGACTCGAGCTACTTTTAACAAAATTTGCGAAAAACGACCTTGCCTTGTGTACAGAGTCTAGCACGGATGTGTACGGGGTGTAGATGGAAAACTGTTAGCGGGTGTACGAGGTGTAGTTGGGAAACGAATGTCATTTTTTGCAAAATAAATTCAGTACCAGAGCATATACACGTACGCTGATGAATATGTCGGGAGCAAGGATTGTGAAGTGAATGATTCTAATTTTATAAAGGATTAAATTATAAACATGTTACGCTCCATGTATATTAACCCTTTCGCTGCCAGAGGGTTATTGTTTTATTGTTCACCTATTTGCCAGAGGATTTTCTAAGAAATTACTATATTATTAATTAATATAATTATTATTATTTGTTATTAGTATTATAATAATTATATATGTTTCCAATTCTGTTAGTATAATAATAATTATTGTCGATGGTATAATTTTCTTTATATTTATTATTATTTTTATTATTATTATTATTAATTTATTATTATTACTATTATTATTATAGAAACGGCTAAAGCCGTCCATATGGCAAATACGCCGAAAATAACAGGGACGGCTAGACCACTTTTTTATGTGAAACTATAAATTAATTGGAAAAATGAAAAAATCAAAAGACCACAATTTCATTTCATATTGGTAGAACATATATAGTACAGCAAATCTATAATTTGTATAACCATGTTCGAGTTATGCATTGTGAACTAAACTTGATCTAAACGTGTTATATTGGTTTATTAGTTTACCTGTCTTAAGACTTCATTGAAAAACAAAAATATGTTAATAAGCTTTGGTAAAATATCAGCCTTGATTAGTTAGGTTAATCATCTGATATATCTTTCGGGGAAATACTATATTACTGGCTATAAAATCGTTCATAATTTTTTGCAGTCAAACTCGATTGACCTCACTTGTGATTTCCATATTGTTTTATATATATAATGCTGCTGCTTTTTCTGAAAATGATTATTATGATTATGATGACTCTTCAATGATGATGATGACGATGATAATGATAATGATGGTATTTTATGTTTTCAGTTCAACAATGCCATACCAATGTACAGAGGTGCAGAGATATAATTATGAAACATTTAAAGTATTCGGCATATTATAGAACATCATTCCAGTTTGGAAATTCGACATAGAGACTTAGATGGACAAAGTGTTAAAATCACTATAAACTACAAAGTGACCGCAGTGTTATGTACAGAACAATGTTGAACAATAGCTATTGATGACAAAAAAAAAATCACATTCTAAAAGGAACAATGTACCAAAGGATAGTCCATTCAAGAAAATAGTAAAATTTGGCAATCTCAGTGAAAATGAATTCTGTGCATCTGATGTTTCTTCCACAAATGCTGACATTGGACTTATCTCAAGAAGATGACACATTTGCAGAGTTAGTACAGATTCTACCAGCTGTGATTCATTCATTGACAGTGGTCAGCTAGAAGAATATGTACAATACAACAAATTGTAGCAGAGAAACGGTATCTTCTAAGTCGACTTATAGCTTATATAAGGCGGCTTGAACTGTTTTGTAAAAGACAGTGCTAATACTGTTTTGTAGAAAATGACACTCATGCATAATCTTTTAAGGATCGACCTCCTGTCTTATGTGTAGGTCAGTTATACATGTATATATATAAATATATCCCCATTCGGACCATTTCCATTCAGCGAGTTGGTCAAAAGACTCCTCAACATGTCTTATAAATACCGACAGACACTATTCAGTAAGGTGTGACAATAAAAATTAAACGTAGTCATACGTTTTAGCTCAAAAACACTAAAAAGTTAAATTATTTACCAAATAATTCTGTATGGTCCTCTAATTTATCCATGTTTAGTCTGAAATGAGATTATTTCCATTTAAAAATAATATAAAAGACTATACTTTAAAAATATGTGACTGCTAGACACCGTACACATCTACTAAACCCTGTACATTAAACTACTACACCCCGTTCACTTGAATTTGTTTTCTTTGCTAGACTCTGTACACAAGGCAAAGGTCGTTTTTTTGCAAATTTTGTTAAAAGCAGATCGAGTTGAAGGGTGAAAACTCAAATATAAGTAGAGGGATGACAATAGTTTGTATTAACGGTGGATTTCGATACAGCAAATGCGTTTTGGGCTTGATTTAGTGGCAAATATCAACAAATGCGCTACATTTTATCGCCAAGTTAACAAAAAGTTTTCAATTTGCAGACAAAAGCAAATATTGCTTTAAAACTAGAAACATTTAGCTTCACAAAATTGTTTAGTTTGGAAAAATCGATGAAGTTCTGATGAAGAAACAAGTTAAAACATTACCTTGGGTGTACTCGGTGTGCAGCTTTCTACTTTCGTTTTCGGTGTTTTTAGGGGCTATATCCGGTGGACGCAGTACAACAGTGTATATATAGGGTCAGATTTCTGTCTTCTAGATGATATACATGTACATGTACAATATGTATATAACTTACACAATAAATACATTTTAAACTTCATTACAGTATATACCTTGTGAGTGAAACAAGTACCCTCTTCTTTATTTATAAATGTTCCTCCACAAACAATCACTCGATCATCCAGTGTATGTGACTTGTGTTGTAAAGTTAAGGTTATATTCATGCAAGGTGTTAAGAATAGGAGAAATAGTATTTTAGATCATCCATTACAAATTCTTACACAAAATCCAAAACAACTCAAGAATCAGTCCAACTCATATAAAACCCATAATACACATAATAGAATTTAAACCATTTAATCTAGAGATAGATAACCAACTGTAAACCAAAAAGAATAAATACCTTAGTCCAATTCTCCTCCAAACACTTTAAATATAAAATAAACTATCAAAGCTTGCAAAGAGCAAAGCAAAATCTAACTCTAAAACTTTGAAACTACACACCAAACCTGATCATGTTATCACAATATAACAATACTCTCATCTGATTGGATGAAAACATACACCTGTCAACTCAGTTTATAAATAGTTTAACATGTACAATATCTTGGAATGTGTGAAAAGTTCTCACTAGTATTAAAGACCAATGATGACCTGTAAACATTAAAGGCACATCATGACCAAAAATATAAATATTTTAAAAAATGATTAAATGTTAAAAAATTAGCACTGCTACAATAGTGAATTATTTCCCTATTATTTCGTTGAAAAGATCCTTGCCTGGTTATGCAGTAATTAAAGAAATAAGGCTTTTGTTTGCTATAAAAAATAAATTTTGGATGGTGGGCTGGTGGGTGGGAAACTGTCCTGTACTGGCTGTCGGGTATTTCAGGAACCGTGGGTATCATAAAATGCTGATGATATTTGGCAGATTTGTTATTTTCTATGCTACAATTATTTTCTGCTTGTATTATGTTTATACAGGGTTATTTTTGCTAAATAACTAGCTTTAACTGCTTCTTCCCTAGACGTAACGTTACAGACTTGTTATAGTTTATGTCGGTCAAGCCTGACGTCTAATAGTTATTGCTCATAAACGCATAACATCATAATGAAAAAATAAAAAATGTCAATTGTCTTGCCTTTCAAGCTTTATCAAAAAACTTATCTATTTTTCTATCTATTAAAAGGCGTGTATCGAAACAAATCCACAAGTAATGGGACCATGTTTTCAAGCTGTATGCCAAAATATCAAAAAGGCTGTGATAAGTACTTACTGAGAAAACAACTGTTACGAAAAATTCCTACCATTGACCACTTAATCGGTGAAAATTTAACTAAGTCGATAAAACAGGAAGTGGAAATGGGCAACAGACTGATATCAAATCCCCCGTATGGGACCATGTGTTGATGCTGTATGCCAAATATCAAAGAGGCTGTGATGAGTAGTTGCTGAGAAAAACTGTTACGACAATTTTTTCCTCGCCATTGACCTTTAATGTTGAAAAATTTACTAAGTCGATAAACAGGAAAAGTGGATGACGACAGACCTGAAATCAAATCCCATGGTTATGGGACCATGTGTTGATGCTGTATACTAAAGTATCAAGAGGCTGTGATAGTAGTTGCTGAGAAAACTGTTTACGAAAATTTTCTTCCATTTTTTTTCTTACATTAATGCTGAAAAATTTAAACTAAGTCGATAAACAGGCAAGTGGATGAGCGACAGACCTGAAATCAAATCCCACTGTAATGGGCCACTGTTGATTTCGCTGTAATGCGCAAATATTCAAGAGGCTGTGATAAGTAGTTGCTGGAGAAAAAACTGTTACGAAAGTTTTTGCCCCCCGCCCGCCGCCCACCGTCGGCCGCCCGCATTCACCATACTATATAAACCGGGTTTGCACATGCACACCCGGCCTAAAAAGTTGAATTTTTCTGCTAAGCCTTTGTGAACTTAGAGGACGTTGATGGAAGCTTGCTATAGACCCACTGTCTTGTCCATGAATTAGGCACTATCGAACTGAGCGTAAAAGTGCCATACTGTGTGTTTTCTTAAAGCTTCCCGTTTTCATTTTCTATTTGCTAATTTTTAATTTTTAAACAATGCTAGTCTGGCATAAAAACAGGTGAAATAAGGAGATATACAATCTCTTAAGAACCCCACTAAACGGAAAAATTTGGGAAAAATGTTGGCAGACTTGGTTTGATTTGGGGCCTTTTTCTTTGGAAATGGTACTGGGAAAGGCAAATCCCGTCCACACCCCCCTGCGCCGACTCAAGGTTTAATTTTAAAAAAATTTAAAACATAAAATAGTAAAATTTGAATTTTGCCAAAACACCCGAGTTTTGGGTTTATACGGGGGTTTTCTTTTCCAATGGAATTTTAAAATGTGACACTTTTTTCACCCGGGTACTTTTGAACGGGTTGCGTTTTGGCCCAAACAAGTAACCAGAATATGTGCCCTCCTAGCTAATGAAAAAACAAGGGATGAAAACAAAAAAAGGGGGGCGTTTTTAAAAATGTTTGGGTCTTTATTTCGGCTTTCGAATCCACCTAACTGGACTATTTTAAAAAAATACCCAATTTTGACTGCACTGAAATTAAAAAGGCAAATTTTGTAAGATTGTTTATTTTGTATGCTTTAAAATGAATAATGTCAATATGATAAAATTTAAGGTAATATTATGATATTTTGGGTTTGTAAATATTACAATGTGATTATACAATGTAAAAATAAGTAAGGGTTATGTTGCCATTGTGGGGGATGAACCGCCAAACCCCCTTCATACCTTATTAACGGGGTGAAGATAAACTCGGGGGGTTACCCAGTTGGGCTCTCAAAAAAAAAAAAAATAAACTGAACAAAAATCATTGAATCTGGGTGAAATGCTGGATGAATATGCCACAACTTAGACTTGATACTATGCATTCCTGTAAAATTTTTTGATTAAAATTGCTTCAGAAGCTTTTTGAGTAGAAGTCCTGGACAAAGTAATTTTGAGGGGAACATAAAGACAGACGATGGAACAAACAAACAATTTGGACAGAAAGACAATGGAGAAGTTGACCCCATATCTTGAATGAAAAATGTTATTGTTTTGGGAAATAAAATATGTCCTGAGACCTTTCACATCAAATTTATAAAGATATCATGAAAATTAACAGAAAAACCATGACCGAAGAAAAAACGCTTTGTTCTTGATATCAGCAAATGACATGTATATTAAAAAAGTTGAAAAAATTTTTTAATTGTTTTTTTAGGTTTTATTTTAACGCCTTTTTCCAACACCAGTATTTCAGTATAATAGGCAGGTAAGTTTCCCTAACCATCATTCCTGGAAAGAGTGTTACAAACCAGTAACAGAACAATTCCTCCGCGCTAAACTCCGAATATTTTAAATAACAAATTGTAAGAAATCTTTACAAGCCAAAACCCATTGTAACTATAATTTTTCTAAAAAATGATAAATCATAATGGTTTAAGAAAAAGCTGTTCAAGTATTTTAATTTAAAATATTTGCCCACTTAAAACCCCTTAAAGAAGGGGACCCCAAAAATTATATGGAAACCCGCCCACAAAAAATCATCAACCCCCAAAGGCTACCACGTCTTTAGAAAAAAGACTGAAAAACTTTAAAAATTTAAAGAAGATTTAAAGTTCCCAATTTTTAGAAACAAATGATTTTTTTCAAAAATTTTTAAAACAACCTTGGGGGCTTTTTTGAAGGGGGGGGAAAATTTTTTCAGATAAAACAAAACAAGAGCACCACTTTGGGGGAGCATTATAAGGGCCCCAAAGGGGTTTTTTTTTTTAAAATGGGTGAAGCAAGTTTGTAAGACATTGGCCCTAAATTAAAAAAAATAAAAACCTCCTTCAAATAGCAATCCTCACTATAAAAATTTGAAAATTGTGGGGCCCAAAAGGAACTTTAAAATTTTTGCCCTTTGGGAAAATGTTTTTTAGTTTGGGGGTAATAGCGGGCCTTGAAACTTTGACCGGGGACCCCAAAATCCAAAAAGGGGGGGGGGTTTTTACCCAATATGGGCAAACATCCTAAAGAAGTTTCAAAACTAGGGCCAAATTTGAAAATTTTGTTATTTCTGGAAAAATGTTTTCATTTTTTTAAAGGGAATAGTGACTTTTACCCTTTTGAAACCCCCCAAAAAAAGAAAAATTTTTATTTTTAAAATTATAAATTTTATTTAATAAAATCTTACCCGAATTTTCATTTAGGATTTCAATTTTTTTTCCCACCTTTTTTTAACCCCCTTAAAAAAGAAAGTGTTGGGATTTTTTTTACAATCCATTGAATGCATTGAAACAAAATAATTTCCTGGGAAGTTTTTTAAACGCAAAGAACACACTTTTGGGGTATTCCCACGTGAAAACAAGTTTTCCATTTTTGGCGCGTAACGGCCCTCTAATGGAAAACTTGAAATCTGTTGGGGGTGGGATGGGAAAGGGATCATGTAATGTCAGGTAAGTATTTAAAATTCATAATTAATTATAACTTGAAAATAAAAATTTTTTCAATTTTAAAATTTCATGAAATACTTACCTGACATTAACATTTAGGATTAATATCTGATTATAAAGGCAGTTAAAAGAATAACTGGTGGAGGGAGATTCAAGTTGAAAATCCATCCATAAATTTTTAACATCAAAATAACAATAAAGAAAATTTTAAAAAAAAACTTACCTCTGAAGAATCCAAACTTGGAACAATTTCAATTTAGGTATGGTCAAAAACTGCAGAAATAAGTTGCAAATGCCAATAGAAACATAACCAACTGTATTAAAAAAATCCCACTGTATTTACACTGTTTACTGTACAAAATACTCAGTTCCTTATCTGTAGGTATGATGTATAATACCAAAATATAATATAGCCCTCCAAAGCCGGATCAAACAAATATACTTAAAAATTCCTTGCAAACTCGCAAAAAAGAAAATATTTTAAATATGTTATTAAATTATACAAAACTAATTCTTTTTGTCTTACAACAGTCAATGAAATTATATTCAAATCCGCCAAGTAATGTTTGGTAAAATGTAGTTCTCCCTAGATCAGTTCAGCAGATTCCCATAATCTCCTTCATAGATACCCCTTTGAAAAGAGCCCCATGAAGGACCCGAAAATTTCTGGTAAGAGTGACCTTTAATAGATTTAAAGCACTTTTCTACTAACTCAAATATCTGTTTTTATGTTTTTTACAATCCAGAGATATTGGGTTGTAGATGAAATGTTTGATGTGGTTTTTTAGAAGATAAAAATACTGGGTAATTCCTGTCACAGACTTTTTTAAATTTTCTGTTCCCTTTTTTGCTAAACTCTTTTTTGGATCTTTTTTCTTGTTGTCCCCGGAAAACTTGGTTGAACATAGGAGTAGGCTTTGGTGATTTGGCCGTCTTGCTTTGAAAACCTGGCCTGATAAAAGTTATCCCCTTTTTTTCTTTCAACTCCAAAACTTTCCCCCCAAATAAAGAGCTGAAGATCCTTAACAACGCTAAATCGAAATGGTAAGTATCAGGAAAACACGTTTTCCATGTTTAAAAACTTAAAGACGCTTCCAATGGGGTTCATATGGTGCCTTCTTCAGCGAACCTAAAACAAAAAGAAGATCCCATTCAGGGTCAAGTTTTTAACTGGTGGCCTTTCATTAAATACACCTTCTCA